GACGGGACGCTAAGGCGCCGTTAAAAACTCATTTTGTCGTCATATTGTAATTTATTTGGAAACATGTAACTCATGCTACAATGTAACCTTTTAAATTATATTTATGAAGGTTGTGGTTGCTTTCTTTACTATTACTCAACTGTTATGATATTGTACATTACATCATCCGCTCCCGAACATTTTCGCCGTTCTGATTTGGGGGTGTGACAGAGTTTCTGGCTGAGTCTCGAAGCTAAATGGCTACCACAATAAAAAATGATAGATAAAGGTATACCATGTCTTGTAAAGATCTCATTTGCATAAATCTTTGTCAATTTCACTAACCTTTCATTCTCTTTGTTCACCAAAAAGTGGGTGCTTTTCATCAATCGATACAGTATTACCCATATCATGTTATTTCTCCGCATGGTTTTCGGTAGTTTCATGAAAAAGGTTAATCGTAATATTATCCCATTCCACTTGGGAATCCTTGGATGCTGTAACTCACCATAGGACCACTCGTTATCAGCCTTGACTTTCTCACAAGTCACACATATTGACACTTACTTTGCTACATTCCTTTTAGACTCGACCACCAATACATGGCTTTCAGGTCTCAATAGATCTTCTTTATGTCTAGGTGGATTTAATAATATGATCTATGTGTGTCCTATAATAGTGTGTCATAAACACTATCAACCCTAGGGACCCATGGTCATCTTTGAAAGATCTGAAGTCACCAAATATCTTCCACCAAAAGTGCTTGCCACTTGACTATTATCTCACCCTTCACATGGTCTTTTTTCAAACACACAGCCTGAGAATCCCATAGATGCTTGCATATACCCGGAACCATAACCAATCCCATCGACATCATGTGATAAGACACGTTTGGTTCCTTAAAACTTAGAGCATTAGCTACCAAATTTTCTTTACCTGGATTGTAACTAATCTCACAATCGTAATCTACATGTAACTTAACCCATCGTCGTTATCTCATATTCAATTCTTTTTATACAGAATATGTTGCAAGATTTTATGATTGGTATACAATGTTTACTTCATCCCATATAACTAATGTCACCGTAACATGAGTGCAAATACACCAACCGCCAACTCCAAATCATGTAGTGAATAATTTAGCTCAATGCTCTTTAGTTGTCTAGAAGCATACACTATCACCTTCCTGCACTGCATAAGTGCAAATCCTAATCTTGAATACGATGCATAAATATAAACTACAAAGTCCTCATCTTTATCAGCCTAAAAAAATGCTCTGCCCTCTTTGTCAAGTTGGTCAGAACCAGTGATCTTGTAGTAATCCTTAACAAATCTCTAATAATAACCTACTAAACTCAAGAAACTGTGAATGTCAGTAGTAGTCTTAGAATTCATCCAATCCCTTACTACTATGATCTTGGTTAGGTACAATTTAATGCCATCTACACAAACAATATGTCCAAGAAACTAGAACTCTCTCAACCATAATTCACATTTGGAGAACTTTGCGTAAGGTTTCTCCCCACATAACATCTTAAAAACCTCTCGTAAATGCCTCTGATGATCTTTGAAACTCTGAGAATACACCAAAATATCATCAATGAAAACTATAACTAGTTTTTCTAAAAATAGACGGCATACCCAATTCATCAGGTCCATGAAAGTTGCAGGTGCATTCATCAAACCAAATAGCATCACTAGAAACTTATAATGCTCGTATCGTGTCCTGAAAGTGGTTTTGGGAACATTCAAATCACAAGCCTACACCAGATGATATCCCGAATGTATATTTATCTTCCAAAAGTGACTAGCTCCCTACAACTGATCAAATAGATCATCAAACCTCAAAAGTAGGTAAATATTCTTCACAGTCACCTTACTCAATTCCCGAGCGTCAATACACAACTACACAAAGCCATCTTTTTTCATCATAACGAGGATCGGTGCTCTCCAAGGCAAGGAACTCCGTCTAATAAAACCTCTCTCTAATAAATCATGCAACCAAGACCACATCTCTTTCATCACCGATGGAGCTAACTATTGGATTAAGGTGTCTAAGCTCATAACTAAATTGTTATAAACTTGCAAATAGAAGCAACGTCATTTTTTGGGTTGCCCTCATATCCAAAAGTAACTAGAAATTATATTACGTGAAAGATAATTATAGAGAGAGAGAGAGAGATGATTTATTAATATATTATGCGAGTAATATATTAATTGGAAATAGATAATTGTCGTGTTATTTTTTATGTGATTAATGAATTAACGTGAGATCAATAGTTAAATAACTGATTTGTTAATTTATATGGTTAATAAATTAATAAGAAATCAATTAGAATTAATTAATTATTCAACAAAATTATTCTAGAAATAATTTAGGATTAATTAGAATTTGTTAAAGGTGCAATGGGTGAATTTTAATTGTATGAAGGTTTGTATCGATTGGGTACACTTCAAATATAAAGGACAAAAACAAAAAATAGTTTTCATAGAAACCAAAATTTTCAAACCAAAATTTTCATTTTTAAAACTACAAAAAATAGTTTTCATAGAAACCAACCCAATAAAGGTTATAATGTCAAATAAAATTCCACATTAAAATATCAAATTGTCCCAAAATGTCTAAACAAAATCTCCCAACAAATGTGTACAATCAGGCCTTTGCCTTCCCGCGATCCTCAGAAGTACCTGAAACACATTTAATCAACTACAATAAGCATAAAGGTTAGTTAGTTTCCCAAAATATCACATATAACACAACACATAAAACAACTATGAGTTTTCAGTAACCCTCGAGACTACCTAAAGATTTAGTGGGCAAACAACACCCCCATGGGTTATCAGCAACCCCGGAGACTACCCAAAAGTCTCAACACATATAAACAATGCAACCATAGTAACAACACTTAGACCGAGCTGGTCGTAATAAATATATATATATATATATATATATATATATATATATACAACTATTCTACCACACATATAAGAATAAGTAATGAGACTTACCTAATACTAATGACTGATAAAACACATACCCAAACTACCTGAATTAGACTCTGCCTAATCTTTAAGACTTTTATCCAAAACTTAGATATAGCCCCTAAAGAATGAACTAACCTATAAAGTCTCTTACTTTATCATCACCAAAAGCTCTTTGCATGGAAAAAGAGAGCTTAACCTCAAAACCCTAACTTTATCATCACCAAAAGCTCCATATCACTTGCATGAGGTTAAGGAGAAAGTCAAGCTAGGATTTTTAATGAATCACAACACTTGAAGACCTCTGAAAGGACAGCTCAGAATCCATAGAGTACTCCATACTCACAAGGTTTAATATCCTGGGTAAAAAAAAATATAAAACCATGCAAACAAGATCCAACAACATAAGTCCCAAGGTCAGAATTTTATACCTTCAAAAGTTGGATAAGAAATATAGATTTTGGATCCAAAGTATGAAAGAATCACAACTTATTGAATGATCATGCCTTCACAACCAAGAACACAAAAATGTCACTCTCATACTTCAAATCACACTTACAAGGCTATGATTTCGTTCTAGGGTTTAGAGGGAATGGAGGATGGATAAGATGATCTCTAATGGAGGAATAAGATGATTAAATAGGGGTCACACCGTATATTTTAGGGTTTGGAATATGTGAAAGTATGCATGGCGTACTCACATATACGCCCAATGTACTTTCTCCTCCACTTTGACTTCCTCGAAGACATATGCCTGATGTATAAGGCTAGTACTCCCAGCGTAAGTGGCCAAAATACAAAATTATATTAACTTCAAGGAAAAGAAATAAAATACCTGACAACGGGTGTTATAGGAAAATAAATAACACAAGGCGTACTCACATATACTCATCACATGGATATCAGATCTGCTATCTATTATATACTTATCTATATCATTACCAAATAGAATAACCATACTAAACGTTGATGCTGATAGGTTTGATACACTGGTGTTGGCGGTGATGTAGACATTGATGATGAAAGATAGCTTGTAGAGTGTTTGAATCATCAGAACATAAAGTGTAATGTTACAATCTCCCCCTATCTGATGATGTCAAAACCAATATTCTTCCTTAGAGTCATCAAAAGAACCATTCTACAACTTGTCAGCTTCTTTCAAGATCTCAAGCTTAATCCATCTGAATTTATCAATTTCAAGTCCATCCAATCTTCTACTAAACTGTTGAGATATCAGCACACAATATGCTCTTTACTATTCATAGTGACTAAGTCATTCCATGTGAACATGAAACAAGTGCTCAATGGGAGCAGCAGGATATCATCAGTGCATTGAACGCACATATGATTTTGACTGTTAAGATAAAATATTCCTTGCTCTGGTCCTAGAATGAACATGTACATGAGTGGTTTAACACTTGCTGGAAATTCATTTTTGATGTTCCTAGTTCAATAAGGAAGAAGAAAATTGATATGATTGGATTTATTGGGAGCATCTTTTCTTCCTGGGGAGGATGGTCTAGATGGATCAACTGATAGCACAAAGTTTAGCTTCTTGACTTTGTTGAGTAGTTGTTGAATTGCCAACTTCACTTCTTGAGCATTAATACCCTTATGTTTTCAATTAATTGTTGAATTTGTATCCTATCACTATAGCCAAATTGGACTAGATCATGAGAAAATACAACCTCAATGTCTTCATATTCAGTCTTCTTTCTGACCGGATGAAGCTTTAGTAGCTCGTTCCTTGGTTTGGTACATCTCATTTTGATAATGGGACCAGGCTTTGTTCTGTGAGTAAGAACATCTCCAAACTTCTTCCTATTTATCATGCCATTTACCTCTGAAACTTTGTGCTCTTTGCCCACATTGTTATTGAAAAACTAAACTTTATTAACTTGATCATTGGAGCTTTAAACACCAACACTTTCATCAGTGGAAGCAAGAGGTTGAGCAGGTTTCGTAGATATACATTCTTCATTTATAGCTTCCTTTTTTTTCTAAAATGACAGTTGCACTCCATGTTACAGCTAAATCATTCAGATTAAAGATAAGCTTGCTTTTCTTTTGTTTCTTAAAAGGATGTCTTGAAGGATCATTAGTTGCAGAACATCCATCTTCAGCATCATGATCTCCCACTGAGAAGGAAGCCTTCCTCTTTTGAGAATTGAGTTGATCATTATCCAAATCATTTTCCCTATTACTTCCTTGAGGAATCTGCCCCTCAAATTAAGAATCACTATAGACAACATTCAAAAGGAACATCAGACACAAACATATTATGGCATGAAGCCAAGATCAAGAAACCCTTCATAGTCCTTGGTCTCTAATTAATCACCAGTGTCTAGAATGGATTGATAATTAGTTTTTTCATTAGCATCTGGAATAATTTCCTCTTGAAGGTCAACTTCAGATCTTCTAGTTTTAGACATCCCAGGCTGAGATGAAGTTGGTGCAATCACCACCATTTTCATTTGCTAATCAGGACTCCCTTAATTATTCTCCCCTTTTTTTGGCAACATCATATTAAGGAGGAGATCCAGGAGATGGTGAAGGAGTGTGAGGAGCAGAATGAGATGGTAGAGGTGGTGGTGGAGGAAGATTTGATGAGGTGGATGAGTACTATCATTTTGACAGTTTGGTGAGGTGTCATCGACAATTATATCATCAACATCATCATCACCCAGGTCCATAAGTCACTTTAGTGTAGCCACATCCTTTTTAACTTTAGTCAACCTTTGTCACAGTGATCTACTTATCTATACTATTAGAGAGAATTACGAAAGCATAGCAGTTTGAAAGTTGGAGCTGGATTCTTCCTGATTATCCTCAATAAAAGCAGCAATCTTAATAGGAGTTGGCATAGGAAGAACAATCTCATCTTGAGGAGAAGGAGATGTTGACCCATCTTGGATAATTAGCTTAGTAGTGGATGAAGGAGTATATGGGAATCATATGTGCTTATTTATGCTTGGAGGAGAGTTTATTCCCTGAGCAAACTCTTTTCCATTATCAACAACTAATTCTTCTTCATCTTTATCAATGTCTTTTTCCTCGTCATCCACTTCTTTATTATCCTCATCATTTTCTTCTTCAGAGTCAGAGGATTCACAACCATAGGGTTTGTTAATCCACTTTTGCATCTTCTCTGTAATAATCAAGTCACCTTCAGATGGAGTTGGATTGATAGTCTTTGAGGAGATGTCAAGATTTGGAATAATAATCCCATGAATTTCAACATAGCCTTCCTCACGAGATAAAATCAGTCCAAGAAAACAGAGATAGGGAACATGCATTAGATTTTTGTTCCCATTTATGCAATCAATAATGTGATCAAAACAAAGTTAAATAAAATCTTGTCTTTTATTGTACACAAAAGAGAACAAAATCCTTTGCTTAATGATATTGAGTTAATCCAAAATTCTAGTCTTATGACCAAGATATTTGCCAATAACACATCTTAAATGTTTCCGTCTAACATTAAAACATTGACGAAGAGGGTTTTTGTATGGATCACGAGTGATGCCCTGAAGTTTGGTATTATACCCTAATTTTTCACGAACGGACTTGCAACTTTCTTCCAATGGAGTTTCAGAGTAATTTGATAATCGAGGAAGAAGAAGAGCGTAACATCCCAACTCCCAGGTATAATATTTAATTATTTTATATTTATGTTGTTAGAGCAACTCGAGGAGTTGGAGGCCCTAACTCGCCGAGTAGAGAGTTAAATGGTCGAGTGCTTTTTAGAGTCTACTCGACAAATTGGAGGACCCCCAACTCGGTGAGTAGGAGCTGAGTGTGAAAGCCCTAATATTTAGATTTTGTGCCCTATTCAAAGGACCTTAAGCCTTCATTTTTTCTTCCCTTGTCGTCTTGACACACTAAGAGAAATCCTAAGCGAGTTGTATTCACTGTGAGAGAGAGAGAAATGATAAGATTTGTGTGTTCTAGTGCATTTTTGTAAGGATATTGAAGAGCAAAAAGCCTTGGAATGACAAGAAGCCTTTGGATCCGATGTTCTTTCAGTGATAGCTGCCATTTGGAAGTAAAAAGCTTTCACCTTGATCATTTTTTGAGTAGATCTCATCACTAGGTAGTTTATGGGCATTTTCATCCTTTCTTTGGGTCCTTAAGTTGTTTGAGCTTGCCATGGAGTTGCAACTCTACATCTGGACAATATGAGGTCCCTTGGGCCTAAATATTCATGCTTTATCAAGCTATTAGCCATCTTTCATCCATCAAACCCTCTATAGATCTTGTTTTGGCATTTCGAGCCCTAGATGCCATGCATAGACGTAAAGCTTGCAGCTTTACATTATACTTCATCTTTAGAAGGCTAGATTTAGAGTATGGAGCCTTAGTTCTTCTTAAAAACGTCTGGATGAGAGAATGGATTGAAGGGACTCGACGAGTTGATGAGCCAACTCGACAAGATGGCTAGGGATTTCGCCGATAGTCTGGACGCGTTACAACTCGGCGAGTTGGTGAGTCAACTTGATGAGTTGAGTTGGATTTTTCTGATACTTCAGAGAAAACGAAGAAACTCGACGATTCGCATACATGCACTTGACGAGTCGGGTCAACATGGACCGTTGACTCGAGTGTTGACTTTCGCTGACTTTTAGGGTTTCATCAAGTTATTAATTATGGTGACCATGGAGGGGTAAAATGGTATTTCACCCTTTCCAAGAGTTAGAAAAGGGGTTAGCGTAACTTTTTAGGGTTGTGGATATAAAGTGTTAATTAGAGATGATTGTCATATATAGGTGGAGTCTAGACCGTTCTTAGAGTAGGAGACCTACTTGCTTCCTTACAAGGTGAGTCTTCTGACTATACTTACCGAAGTGGTAATACAGTGTCACTGGAGGGTCTTATTTTAGTTATCAACCAGAGGGTCTTATGTCCTTATACAGAGTTATGTGATATTATGCATCTTTTCTTTTTGATTTATGCTATATATTAGTCTGTGCCTTACTGAGTTAGGACGGAAGGGCCCAAACCGAGTTGTGAGACCCGAGGTTCTTCATAGAGATACACGACCGGAGGGTCCAACCCGAGTTGTGAGACCGGAGGGTCTTCACTAAGACATATGATCGGAGGGTCCATACCGAGCCGTGAGACCGGAGGGTCCTTGCAGAGACACATGATCGGAGGGTCCATGTCGAGCTATAAACATGAGAGGCTTATTAATTTTTTATGTGGTATTTTGGGGAACTCACTGAGCTTTATGCTTACAGTGTTGTGAGATATGTGTTTCCGATACCTCTAAGGATCACTAGAAGGTGTCGGCTTGATTGTACACACCAGTTGGAGATTGTGTTTTTTAGGATTATGGGATATTATCAAACATGTGTTGCCTTGTGTTTTGTCAACTTATATGTGTTGTGGTTTTTGAGAAATGAGATATTGGGTTTTATGTAATTTTAAAAAGGAAAAATTTATTGAAAATATAGAGTGTTACAAAGAGTACTTCGAAAGGCTTCCAAATCAATAGTAACCCTATATTGACCATCTGCAGTGGTTCCATTAAACGTTTAAGCATCAAAATCAACATAGCATGAATATTAGAACTCACATACTTGTTTAGGGTAGAATGGGTTTGGGAAGTCACATAATGCATATCCAAGAGGACGACTTCTGACATAATCAACAATATCTTTGAATCCTGAGTTGGTGAACTGCTTTGGGATGCCTTCATAGAACGTTACATTGGTTGATTGAATGATGATGGGAGAGTCAGGGGTACGAGGAACTTTGACGATATTAACATTAGGGGTTAACTCAGTGATAAATTTCAACATAGCGAGAGCCTGAGGATGATGATGGGAATCCCCAATTTATACCAAAAGTTTCTTCCTTTGTATATAATCATGACTGAAGAGATCTTCTTCGTAAAAATCTTGCATGACAAGATAACGATGGACATTTTAGACGTCATCTAAAATGTTACCGTTGAGATAACAAAATTACATTAGTGATATGTCATCAACGACAATAAACATTAGTGGAAGCAATCAACATATCAGGTTTTCAACTTGTAAACTAGTAAGATGTATAGTTTTGAAGTCGGTAATAAGAGATCTCATCAGTGTGTGGTTTCATACCCTGACTCATTGATCAATTCTATTAAAAGAAAAGGTCAAGAGTGGTATGATGCATGTAATACATTACAGTATGAAATGTATCTTTCATGCATGGATTTTTGAAGCTATCAACAATGCATGGCACTTTACACTAAATCACAAACCTTTAAAGAAGAATATAAGGGCAAGAATGGGTCGGTGCGTCTGATAGCCTATGGTACATAGACTAGTCGTCGTCATAGAGTTTCAAACTTTTATCACTATGTGCTATATCACAGTGAATCATTAAGTTTTTTTTAGAAGAAATGAAGGAAAGAATGGTTTGTTTCAATTACGCTGAGGTGGAATCAGCTTGAATCATAAACGAATATAACCTATCATCAAGAAATTGTTTAATTCTTGCATCATAGAGTTTTAGTTGTTGTTTAGAATCAAATATTCTCCTTTAACTCAAAATTTTACCATGTCATACCTTAGACTAGGAGGTCAGGGAAAAGAATAACCCTTTGTCATTTAAGGACCACACAAGTATCTCTTATGTTGATGATTGTGCACTCAGTGCAAGCAATTGGTTTATTGTTGAAACATGAAGTGACCCTCTTAACTTACCATGTCGCAGCCTACAAGCATCCGTAGTCAAGCTCCCATCAACAGCCTCATCCGAAGTTATCTAGTCAACAACAATCTTTTTACTTTACTTAGTTTATTTTTATCTATCTTTCTGTAATACTCTTTATTGTCCAGTATGCCTTGCATGGCTACTCTTAGAGAGTGAATCAAATGTAATTCTTGAGTCTCTATAAATAGAGCTCACTCTTTCTCATTCATATATCTCTTTGTACTCATCTATCAATCTGAATTACCTTCAAGTACTTCTTTTACTCATCTCATATCTTTCTTACTCTTTAAATCCTCTCGAACCTAACTGATAATTACTTCTATTCAGAGCAAGTCATTCGTGACTTTATCACTAAGCTTGAACACACTCACTAACTTGGTTTGAATGCATTCCATGTTACGAATCAACTTATGTGTTTACTTGATATATCACCTCCTATCATTTATACTTTCTTACATTTCCACAACTAATTATCTAACTATCTAACTCGTTAACTTATAATTGTTGAGCTTTTAGATCCTTTGAGATTAACTAATTCCACAACAATACTTGTTCTAACGTTTGTTCAAGTGTGTCTCAAGTTTTTTTCTCAACAATTCAGAGCCATAGTGGTTGCTTTTTGAAAAACAAAACTCTGGTTTTCAAAGGCCTTCTATACCACTGAAGCTCATTTCTAAAAAAAACAAAAATCGAAAAATGGCATAAGCATTTTCTCTGAATGTTTCCATCAGTATTGGTGGTTCAAATCGAGCTCCAATAGTGGTGGCAAATGAATACCATCACTGGTCTCAAAGAATAGAAAGATACTTAAGGAGACTTGGTAGAGATGTATGGTGATCTATTGAAGAAGGACCACATGTCCCTGTTCTTACACCTGTTCAAACTGATGGCGCCACAGCCAGACTAGGAGGAGGACAACTAGTCTTGAACCGTCCCACCAAAGATGATCTCGATAAAATGGAAAATGATGTGGTTGCTTTTTCTGAAATCTATTGTGGAGTTGCTCCTGACAACTTCTACATTATCATAAATTTTAAATTAGCAAAAGAGATCTGGGATGATCTCAAGAACTTGTATGAAGGTGCAGAACAAGCTCAAGACAAGAAGCTTACAACTGCACTCAATGAATTCAACAACTTTAAAGCTCATACTGGCGAAAGTTTAGAAGACTCTTTCAAAAGGTTCAATCTGATAGTCACTAAGTTATTAAATGCTGGCACCATCCACAGTAACCATGAAACAAACCTTCAATTTCTCAATGGTTTTGGGAAGACATTGGACTACTGCTAAGATGATAGTTCAAGGAGATAGAAAGATTCATTCCCTGTCTCTCTACAAGCTCTATGGGGAATCCGAAGCATAAGAATCCACTGTACTCAAAGATTGTGCTGACTTCGGAGGACCACTTGCTCTTGTAGCACACGCCCCTCATAATCAATCTTACTCTCCCTCATATGACACTACACCGCAGTCGTACGAAGCTGACTCGGAGTATGATGACGAAGAAGAATTTTAGAAGGCTATTGCTCTTGTTAGTAAACAGTTCAACAGGCTACCACCTCCCTCCTTTCGTAAAAATCAACATTTCAACAAA